CATCATGGAAAATTTGAGGTAGCTCAAGTGTTCCAATGTTTGCTGCCAATGTTTGGTGTTGATATTTGGTGTGGTTTCAAATGTTTGAGATAAATTCGGAATTCAGCACAGAAATATATAAAAAAAAGTGTTGATAATTTATTTCAATAGCTACTTTCCTCTTAATATTATATAGCCTTTATGTTATTCTATTTTATCATTTATTTTCTTACAAACACTGTGCGCAATTCTAAGTTTCCGGGCACACCCACTATTTTGAGCAACTTTTTCTACTACGCTATAAATATGTTGAAATAACTTACTTCTCGAGATGTCGCGATTTAAACCCGAAAACTTTTATTAAACTATACAATACTATATTTTTATTTATATACAATTTTTATATTAATGCACAAACTAGTCACAAATTGTTGTTGTTGGTTATTGGTCCATATAAAAATCTTCAACTTAAAACCCTGATATTTTAGAAAACAAGCTATATTGATAAAAATTCGTTGTCAAATTGTGCGTAGTCAGGATGCGAGACAGAAGGGCCAAAAAACATTAATCCAAAAAATAGAACAGCAAAAAAAAATTACAATTACTTTGAAATAATTAGTAAAGTACTGCTGAAGTTATTTTATTCGATCATATACAAATATAATTTTTTAAAAACAATATCCTTATACTAAAATTCATCTGTTATGCCCATGTTATGTAGAGTGTCATTGGCACGTCAAAATCAAAATTGTTGTTGCTTTCAATGCAAATTAAAAACCTGAAAGTGAGAGAAAATAAACAAATGTCGGTCTAAATTCGGTTATGAGAATCGAGACTATCTATCCAAGCCATGTTGTATATATGTTTATATATATTTCCTTTGACATTTAGGCACAACCAAAAAGTACAAAAGAAATAATATGAATACGCAATTGACAAACTGATGTGACACTCTGCATAACATACATATACGTCATAGCCCGTGACAATCTACATTCCTATATCTTCGACGGCTTCCTCTTTTCTTTAAGAAATATTAGTTCGTTCAGAACTTTAAGAAGTGCGCAGCCCATGTGACAAAAAAATTGTAAAAGATATGTATTTAACTGCGTTAACATCTGGTTCAAAAACACGTTACAGCAAAAATCTGTCCTAGATGTAAATTGATCTAAATCCTAGGATTGCAAAGTACTTTTAAGGCAAGCCTATAGTTTCTTTAATAACTAGAAAACATTTCCAGTTCATTAATCATAGGCAGAAATGATGTAACTATAAAAATTGCAGAAATTATTCATCATTTTTATAGTAAAAACATATATTCCATAAATTTTGCTCCCTGTACCTTCATTAAAGATAATTTGAATTAAGTTTTCTTTACTATTTTGTTTATTTCAAGTTTAGCCTACAACTGCAAAAAGCATATTGATCTACGTTTTATGAAAGATTTTGGAATATTTTAGTGAATATATGAATTGTAGGTGTGGATTCCTTTACGTTTATTAATAAAATAATAAATATTTATTAAGAAAAATAATTATAGTAATAAATTGATAAGTATTATAGTTACACATTTTTAAATAAATTAAATTAAATTACTCTTTTATATTATATGAATTCAATAAGTTCCCATGATAAGGCCGGGGAGTGATGAAAAAATATTTGCATGACACAAATATTTTTCATAAATTCTTCTTATCATTTCAAGAATCAGATTTTTAAATATTTTGTGATGAGTTTTCATAAGATAACTATTTTAATAACAGATTTTCAGCTCCAATTATTTAAAATAGAATTATTTTTTATTTAAATTTTTGTTTTTTTTTTTGGTTTTGATAACCCAAAAATGATTTCAATAAAGAAAACAAAATTAGGTTACTTTTACTATATAAAAACAATCATAATAGCATATTATTAATATATAATATAAAACATAAAGTTTCTATTGTATATACATAGACACATTTACGAGTAGTCAAGTATGCTGATATGTTCTCATTCCCATACTAATATCTTATATTGTACATATATTGTAATAAACATCATATTGTTTTTGAATTCTCCTAGATAGGTAGATAAGATCTCTTCAGATTTGTGATGGTAGATTAAATATTATTAGCGTAAATAAGTGTAGGTAAGCAGTAATCATTTGTTTAGATAACCTATTGTACACTAACAGTAAGAGGCGCAAAATTAAGAAATTAAAAAATAATGCCAAGTATCTAATACATGTGTTCCCTATGTTAGGTTCACAAAATTGTATGTCGTATTTATATTTCATGAATAAAAATAAGTAAAGTAAATAAAACATTTGATTACATATAGTTACGATATTTACATGAACATATAGTATGTTGTATAATGCAGGGCATTAAATTATTTAAAATATTTGAACTTCGTTATCAGTCAAGTGAATTCTTGAAATGTGAATAAACAGTATAGAAATGGGAATAAATATAAATTGCAATATCAACAGATAACATAATAATACATATGTAACATATATTATACACATTTTGTTGAAACGTTATAGTGAATTTGTTAAGATGTTTGAAACGCGGTGAAGAGACATCGGACACAACTAAAGCAAATATGCTTTATATACGTATGCTATTCGTCTTCATCCGATAACGAACACATTAACCACAGCTATACACAATTGAATTAACTATTAAAATTTTGTTGTCATACTTCAGAAACATTCTAATAGTATTAAAGCTAGTATTATTATTTGTATTTAAACAATTCTCAAATATTACATAAATGTTTATTACCATCTATTTTTCTTAATAATAAAATAGTAATAATAAAAACAAAAACTTTCTTTTTTGATTTATCTCATAGCGTTATTAAATTATAAACTATTGCATGCAATAAAATCATTGAAGAGAGCAAATATATAAACAATTTTGTAGTAAACAAACCTTTTAGCTTTAAAAGTGTGTTTTTGTGTTGATAAAAAAACAATAAAATAAGAATACGTAAGAGTTTTCTGTATAAAAATATCTAAAAAACACCGCTGATGTACGCACATCCAGTCATGTCACTAACGCCTACAGGATTTTACTCGTATTTTAACAAATGTGTACATTTATCGGAAGCACGCCTCTAAATTCACAATTTTTTTTGCAATTCTGATAAAATTCTGTTGTTGTTGTATAATTTAACAAATGTTTATACAATATAAGTGCATTCAATACAATGTTTATTATATGATACTATATTTTTTATATTTTTAATATAGTTTAATTTCGATTTTAACACCATTAACAGTTAAGATATAAAAGTATCTTTGAGTATCGGTTAGTGTGAGATAATATCTCGCTTTGCTATTAAATACATTATCAGACAATATATAATATACCTGTCAATCACAAGCTATGTATTATTATTATTATAATTATTAAACGAAGGGATCGTGCACTGTGACCTAAAAGATCCATTGTTCCCCTTAGTCGGATTAGAGTGTTTCTCCAAGTCCGATTTCTTTAATGAAAGACAGTACAGAGCCTATCTTTCCTAATCGTGGTTCACAAGCTATGTACCATATTTTCAAAATGTCTTCTGAAGTAATAAAGTATGAATCAACATACTTGCCTGCAACATTATATACGGAATCTTTCTCACCAAAATTTTTATAAGATTTTCCAGAAACGATATCGTTCACATGCAAGTATCAAACAAAACTCTAACCGATAAATATCTTTATCCATAGAAATTTAGCATATCTCGCAACCGAATTACTCAATACGTAGTAATTATGTACTTAATGACGTATAAATTACTTTTAGAACTGTTGTTTACATTGTTCTTCTCTTTAAGTATATTAAGTAACCATGGAGAATCAATCATTTATTTTTTAACTTAATTTAAATATATGAAACACTTTTTAGACAATACGTTTACACCTCGGAAAATTAAATAATATTTATTGTGAGTGTAATTATTTAGTTTTAAAAAAATTAATGGTAATAATCAACATGCATAATCTTTAAAGATTTTTTCATTAATCTTAATTTTATGCTCTGTTCAGACACAACTTAATTTCGTAAAAATCTTAATTTCAGCTTCGTTTCAGCGAAATTAAGTTGTTTTTTCTATACAAAATTCAGTTTTAAGGTTAGAACGAAATTAAGGAAAATGACCTTAATTTCGTTGAAACGAAGGCTGAAATTAAGGGACATTTCAAACGCGACTATGCGTAAGATAAATTTTTACCAAAAGATAAAGTTGAGATAACGAAAAAGTGACCGTTAATTTTAATGAAAACGGGATAATATTTTGAAAGTAGTGCAAACTTTTAAATTTAAATATAGAGAAAAAAATGGAACTGTGTAACTGTTATTAAATTAATATTGAGTAAAAAATAATAATCCACATAACTGAAATCCACTAAAACTAATAGAACTACTAAATGCCATCCTTTATAGTTATAAGAATCAACTTTTCCAGATACTTT